TTTTGCTTAACAGTTCAACATAGTTATTTTTTTTTTTTAAATCATATACACAAAGAAAACATCAAAATAAGTTCAGATTCCAGATCACAAAGAGCCATGTAACGTGGGGACTCCTTACGGACTGGGTTGCCATGTCCTCTTCCAGGGGATCTTCCCAACCCAAGGACCAAATTCAGGTCTCTTAAGTCTCCTGCATTGGCAGGTGGGTTCTTTACCACTAGCGCCACCAGGGAAGCCTCATAAAGTTTAACAAGCCCATATGATACCTCACAGATTACAATCCCAACAGATCTTTCTTTCCTCCTCCACGCCCCCAAGTCAGGAAGAGATCACGGGGGAAGGTAGAGGCTATAGAAACGAGGAGTGGTTTCTGGGTCAGAGACGGGCTTGCAGCTTCCTGCTCTCCAACCCTACCTCCGGATTAGAGAGCTGCCATAAATAGGGACATTATGTGATGGTGCCATATACAAATCACATCCATTGTCAAGACAAGGGAAGGCAAATTGCAAAATGTGTACTCGCCTGATGAAAGAAAGCTTGGTCAGCAGCTAAAGCAAGTGCCTGGAGAGAAAAGAGGGAAAAAGCCTAGAACTGAGAGAGGCAGAGTCCCAAACCAAAACCCCTCAAGAATGATTCCCTCCTTCCCACCGTCACACTGCTGAGCCAAAAGCAGAAACCGTAGACAGGAACGATGAGAAGGAAGCTCAGCCAACCAGATACACCTGCTTGCTGCCTAGGCCTCTGTCCTTGGGGTGGGGGTACAGGTGGGTCTTCTCACTGGGAGCGAGACCAGTACAATCACTGTGCCACCCCAGAGAAGCGCCCACCTCTCCTCCGTGGAGCCTTATACCGAGGTCACAGGACAAACATTTCTGGAGTAAACCAAGCCCCAGAACAACTGTTACCGTAGGCCTCCTGATCTAAACCGGCCAGTTCCCTGACCCCGTATTACGTAAAATACCCATCCTGTTACCCCCCCATAGCACCCTAAGCAATCATCCTAATGCCACCTTTCCAGTAGGAATTTTCTGTCTTGAGGCTATGAAAATCGGCTACTAGCCTACAAAGGAGTTGGCTTCCCCTCGAGCCCACCCACTGTTCCAACAGCATCTCCTGCTCTTACAAACCTTATTCTCCTCTCATTCTGCCTCATGTCTGGAAATGCTTTTCCAACCAGCACACAGAACACATCTTCCTCTGGATCACATGTCACTGACAACTGCTCTAAAGTGGAGGACAGAAATCAGGGTGGCAAGAACGTGCCCCTCGAGAGTTCCCACAATGCAATCAGGAGATGGGAGCTTAGACACACGGACAGGTGGTGGTCCCTGGTGGTCCAGTGGCTAGACTCCTCACTCCCAGTGCAGGGGGCCTGCGTTTGATCCCTGGTCAGGGAACTATGTCCTGCACTCAGCAACTAAGAGCTGGTCCAGTCAAATTAGTAAATAAATACAAATAAATATAAAGAAAAGACACATGCGCACCTAGAGAGTGCTGTGATTTCCAGAAACATGTTGCAGGCACCTGAGAGTTGGTTAATAGCAAAAAATCTGAAAGGCCTAGGAAGGGGAAGATAAATAGGAATGAACATTTATTGTGCATGTTACTATGCACAGGTGCTGTGTTGGACAATTTACATAGGACAAACCCATTAGCCTCCCAGTGGTTCTATACAGGAGACCTTCTTTCATTTTGTAAACTTGGAAATGGAGACAGTGGAATTTCATCAGATTAAGGTCACACAGCCAATCAGGCCTGGAAAAGGGCCCCCATCTGCCCATACCCTTTCCATCCATCCTCTCATTCTGCCTCATGTCTGGAAATGCTTTTCCAACCAGCACACAGAACACATCTTCCTCTGGATCACATGTCACTGACAACTGCTCTAAAGTGGAGGACAGAAATCAGGGTGGCAAGAACGTGCCCCTCGAGAGTTCCCACAATGCAATCAGGAGATGGGAGCTTAGACACACGGACAGGTGGTGGTCCCTGGTGGTCCAGTGGCTAGACTCCTCACTCCCAGTGCAGGGGGCCTGCGTTTGATCCCTGGTCAGGGAACTATGTCCTGCACTCAGCAACTAAGAGCTGGTCCAGTCAAATTAGTAAATAAATACAAATAAATATAAAGAAAAGACACATGCGCACCTAGAGAGTGCTGTGATTTCCAGAAACATGTTGCAGGCACCTGAGAGTTGGTTAATAGCAAAAAATCTGAAAGGCCTAGGAAGGGGAAGATAAATAGGAATGAACATTTATTGTGCATGTTACTATGCACAGGTGCTGTGTTGGACAATTTACATAGGACAAACCCATTAGCCTCCCAGTGGTTCTATACAGGAGACCTTCTTTCATTTTGTAAACTTGGAAATGGAGACAGTGGAATTTCAGCAGATTAAGGTCACACAGCCAATCAGGCCTGGAAAAGGGCCCCCATCTGCCCATACCCTTTCCATCCCTCAGTCATTTCCAGGTTCCATGCCGCTTCAAACCCCAGAAGGGAGCTTCACATTCAATAAAATATAATGGAATATGATTCAGCTATTAAAATTACTCTTCTGAAGAATGTCAGTGACATGGAGGAAAGTTCATAACAGACCATTAGATGAAAAATAATGCACAGGTGGAATATATGGAATATCAATTATCAATTCCATATGACCCCTCGGCTGTGGGTATACAGGTGTGCATCCATGCATGTCCACCCATGCAGGAGAAGCAAGGGAGAAGGACCCCAAATGCTAACAGGGGGCCTTTCTGGGTTGTGGCATTTGGGGTTTTGTTTGTTCTTCTCTACAAGGAGAACGTGTTACTTTCACAAGCAAACTTCGAGTTCTATGGGAGATGTGAGCTTTACTGTTTCTTAAAGTCTTAAGCACAAACAATGAGGCACACTGAACAGATAGAAGACACTGATCTCAGGCCTGGCCACAGATTCCTTTACATGAGTACCCTCTTCTTAAAGACACACTGCTGCTAACTAGTTTCTTTAGTCTTTTTAAACAGTGAATCCAAAAGACTTGTCATGCTCTTCTTTGGCCAACAGCATGGACTGTGGAAATACCGGGTTGGCCAAAAAGTTCATTCCGGATGTGTCCAGTGTCCATAGCATTGTATGGAAAAACCCAAAGGAACTTTTTGGCTGACCCAATACTTGCCATTGGAGGGCAGCGCTTCCTTCATCCGGCAGCTCCAGCTCAGACCAGCATGCAAATGGACCTCAAAGATGTCACTGACCCAGCTGCTAATCTTTCTGCAGGTGATGCTTTCAGTGAGGTGTGCAGGTCCTCTCAGGATGCTCTGACTACGTCCCCTGTTTTAGGGGCTAGGCACTTCGAGGACACCCGAGGACCTCAGGAGACTCGCATGAATGTCTCTGTAGGCATCTTCTCACCCCCACATGTCCCTTCAACGTGAGATTCTCGAGTTCAAGCACCACAATTTCTGTTTGAGCAGCATGCTGCTGCAGAAACAGATAAAACGCTGACTGTAGTGTCAGGTGACCTGCATTTATGAGTCCCAGTTTTCCACGTGTTGGCTGGAATGCATCACACAGGTCACACCAAACTCTCAGTTCTGCAGCCTCAGAACAATACAGAGAGCACAATGAAGCTGAGAACAGTGGATGGTGAGTGCCTGCTCCTTCCATATTCTAAAGCTGTGTGGGGGCCGCTGGCCACACATGCAGGCTGAGCGCTTGAAATCACCATCAAGCACCTGAGCTGTGTACACACAAAATACGTAGCCAGCTGTCAAAGACCTGGTGTGAGTTTTCATCTAATATCACAATAATTTCTATACTGATTACATATTGATGTGATAGTATTTTTAATATACTGGATTAGATAATTTTTTATAGAAATTAATTTTATTGTTTCTTTTTGCATAGTCAATGGGGCTAGTAAAACATTTTAAACCAGGTTATGGTTTGCATTATATTTTAATGGACAGCACTTTTAAAGAGAAGGGTAAGAACTTGCTGGGCTTCCTTGGTGTGTTAGATGGTAAAGAATCTGCCTGCAATGCAGAAGACGCAGGTTCAATCCCTGGGTTGGGAAGATCCCCTGGAGAAGGGAATGGTTACCCACTCCAGTATTCTTGCCTGGAGAATTCAATGGACAGAGAAGCCTGAAGGGCTCATAAAGAGTCAGGTACAGCTGAGCAACTAATACTTTAAGAACTTGCTATGAGGGTTTTGCGACTTATTGTGTGTTCGCCACACTCAGTTTACACATAGAAGAAGATTAGGGGCAGAGATTGCTGAGGAAGGTGTCTTAGAAGAGAGTCAGCAGAGTGATCTGTGTGTGCCCTTCTTCGTATGGGGGCATCCCCGCTCTCACCACCAGCACCATCTCCTCAAGCCAAGAGAAGAAACTTGAGCGAACCATTTGGAGACCAGCACACAGGTACCCCAGAGTTTAGAAGATGCAGGGAACTGTTCCTACACGTGGGCCCCAAAATGAGGTGAGAAGCTGGTTAGAGCTTCCTATGGAAGCGGAGACAAAGCTACACACCCAGAGCCCGGGTGGGAAAGGGTCCTGGGCTTTCTCTGTGGGCCACATGAATGCCAGTGAAGACTAGTGTTCCTAGAAAAGATCCAAGAGCTTCGGCTGGTAGGGTGTGTTTACTACACCAGAGTCCCTATGGGGGCACCAAAACTGGGGGCTGAGGAGGGAGTGGGACCATGTCGGCTGAAGATAGAGATGAGACCATGTTGCCCACATCAGGAGACAGTGATGGATGTCCATCACTGAGAAGCTTTTCCAAAGGAATCACAAAGGTGCCCTGCAAGAGACAGAGCAGCTTTGGGGCTTTGCTACACACACGGCGCCAACAGAAGCAACGCCACCAGTAAAACTAGATCCCAGGGCCCTTTTACTCATTCTTCTCATGGCCACGCCCCCCAGCCCCGCACCCCCCAACAGGAAGCGGAAGTAGTAGAGCTGAAGGGGAGCAGGTGGCCACGCCCCCCACCTTTGCCAACCCTAAGAGGAAGCGGAAGTAGTAGAGCTGAAGGGGAGCGGGTGGAACAACGCTGAGGAAGCAGTGGAAGTGCACGTCTCTCTTCCTGTAGGCTTCCTGCAGGGGGTCAAGGCCACGCACTGGGGAAGCGAGGAGACTTAGACCAGATAGAAGACTGACCTTCTGACACTAGATCCGACTCAAACATTAATATGTACAAATGACAGTTTACGACCACCAGAAGGTTACCCGAGAAACCTTTAGGTCACCTGCCAGAGATTAAACTGGGAACTGGAGACCAGACAGAGCAGGCTAAGAAGGTTGTAGCAGGGGAAAAAAAAAAGTTGTAGATACAAGTTTTTCAATAAGTTGGTTAAAAATGATCTTATAAAAAGTCATATTGGAAACCAGAATGATAATAATGATGATGATAATACAGCTAGCATTTTTTATGTGCCAGGCATGTCCTAAGCACTTCCTATATATTATCCCATGTAATCTTCTCAATAAATTGATGAGATTATAATGTTCCTTTTATGGATGAGATAATAAGTAACTTGCCCCAAGTCAGGCAGCTTGGAAGAAGGTGCCTTTGGAGATTCCAAAACCCAGGCTTTTCATCACTGTGATCCACAGTCTCCTTGAGTCATTGACCAAATAAGATCTGTGACACTAGCCCTTTGTAAATTGTAAAGCAGTACCACAAATGCCAGTGAGCATTTATGCTCACAAGGCTACAAGGCAGAGGAACAAACGCAATGGACCCAGTGGGCGTTATTGGTATCATCTAATGTGCATTCAGCAGTTTCAGGACACATCGGTCATTACATATAACATGAGAAATAAAAGACCAGTAGCCTCTCCCCCTCCTTGGCCCTTCCCCAAATCTTTAATTTGCAATTCTGGCAGATTTTGTTTTCTCATTTAGAAGTGTGATGATGAAGGGCCTAAGAAGTATGTGTTTGCCTCGGTCTTCAGTGTGCTAAGTTGCTTCAGTTGTGTCTAACTCTTTGCAACCCTAGGGACTGTGGTCCACCAGGATCCTCTCCACATATCAGCAAACAGGTTTTCCAAAGCCATGTGCATGTGATGTCAGAAACAGGCAACATGGCAGAAATAAAAGGTGCTTTGGAGTCCTAAGGACCATGGAATAGTGGGCTACCACTACCCTGGGAGATAGGAAACCGGACTTTTGATTTCGGTTACTAATTCTACTACCTTAGGTAAGTCCTATAATTTCAGGGTTCCTCTAGTTTCTGAAATGGGGATAATAATACCTTTCCTGCCCAGAGGTCTGAGTGATTCTACTCTAGTAGTTGTGATTCTCAGCCCTGTTTTTGCCATATGCCAGCCTGTCTTTAGCTCAAGAGATGGAGCACAATTTGAAAATAATGAGTGTGTTACTAAAACACTAACACTGCATCCTGGAGCTATTTTTGAGGAGTGCCGAACGATCATAAATCAAGCAGATTACATAAATCAAGGAGGTTACATGCCTTCCACAAGGCTGGGAGCCTCATGCGTGAGACAGCAGAGCCGCCTCCTCCCGGTGGTCAGTGCTTCCTTCTCCCACTCTGGATGTCTCCCCCGGTAAGGAGATGCTTAGCAATGACCAGCAGTGAATGAGTGGACTTGGATGTCCTCTCCTTTCCCCTTGTGCCTTCCTCTGTGGCTCTCGTGGCTTGTGTTTTGGAGGCCATCAGTGACCCAGGCTTCTTTGGCAGAGAGTTAAAGCTTAATCAAATAAAGATCTTGCCAAGAAAAGGGCCTCTGTAAGGAAACTAAAATTATATCGTAGCCTCTACTTGAAAACAATTCATCAACAGAAATTCCCTCTTTGCAGTCAACTTATACTAATTTATTCATTCATTTCATGTTTAGCAAGCCACAGCTATGTCCAACAACAGAACTGGGCCCCTGGCTTCCTGAAATGTAATTTCCAACGAAAGAGACAAATGGTTTCCATATATGCATATCTATCACACCATGATGGGTGGTGGTGTTGCTATGAAGAAAAATAAGGTAGGTAAAAGGGATGAAATGTAATGGGGCAGAAGTGGGGGAGTTGCTAATTAATAGAGGGAGGTTAGAAATGCTCTTAATAAAGGGACATTTAAGCAGATACCTGAGGAAGAGAGGGAACAGACGTGTGGATATCTGAGGGAAAAGCATTCCAGGAAGAAGAAACAACAGAAGCAAAAGCACTGAAGCAGGAATCTGCTTAGCATGTTTGAGGAATAATAGGAAGACTGCAGAGTTTACCCTATCCTGTATGATGATAGTCTTTTCTCTTGGGCTTCCCTGGAGGCTCAGTGGTAAAGAATCCACCTGCCAATGCAAGAGACACAGGTTTGATCCCTGGCCTGGGAAGATCCCATATGCCATGGAGCAACTAGGCCTGTGTGCCACAACAATTGAGCCCAGAAGCGCCAACTACCGAGTCCATGTGCCTAGAGCCCATTCCAGAAAAGCCCAAGCCGCAGTGAAGACCCAGCACAGCCATAAAGAAATAAATATATTTTTTAAAGGTAGCTCTCTCTTCACAATTATTAATGTAACATGTTGACTTAGAGCCATATGATAAATCCTAGTGATAGGTTTGGAACCAAAGAAGTACTTGGTATAACCAGCTAAATTCTTTTAGAACTTAGTGGGGGGAAAGGCAGTAGAATTGATAGGAATTGGTGACTGATGGAATGTGAGAGATGAAGGAGGAGGACACGTCACTGCTGACTCCCAGGTCTCTGGCTTGGATAAGGGGAAATGTGGTGATGTCACTGACCCAGATACACAGTAGAAGAAGAGGCAGAGAATGTTGCTTCTCTGTTTGAATCTAGTTTTATTTTTATTTGGATTTTTTTTTGGGGGGGGGAGGGGAAAGGAGGGAGAATAGGAAGGGCAGATCTTAGAAGGGAGGATGCTAAGTTGAGCTTGTTAAGTGTTTAACAGACATCTCATTGGAGATGTCCATTATGGCACTGGCTATATGGATCTCGTGGGAAAGAGATCAGTGCTTGATATATTGATATCAAAACCACAAAGTTAAAACTGTAGGACTGAATGCCTACTCTCCCAGGGTAGGTGTATAAAAGAGAAGAAAAGAAGGCTGAAGACAGAACATGAACACCAGCAATTAAGGGATGAGAAGAAAAAGAGAAGAAAAATGAGAACGGATAGCCAAGAAGGGCAGGACAAAATCCAGTGTGAGGGCCATCGTTGGAGGGACAGGAAAAAGATTTCAGTGACGGCTGAGGATGCTGAGGTCAAATAAGACCTAACGTCATAAAAGAGTCAGCAAAGGCTTGCTGAGCGCTGCATGTTTGCTAGGCATTGTGCCTGCCACAGGGAACACTGCAATTCATAGGCTAGGCATGATCTCTTCCACACAGAGCTTACTAGATTCACAACTAGAAGGTCCCTCGTGACCTTGTCACAGGCTCCTTGCATGAAAGTCAACCTCACCGAGTTACTAGGAATGAATGAGAGGTAAGGAAGTAAAAGTTACTCTTCAATCCTCTGTTTGCAAGCAGCCTGACTCTAGTGAAGGGAAAGGAAACAGAGTCACTGAGGGAGACTTTTCTTTCTCCAAAGTTTGCAAGACTTGAGTGTACTTCTATGCAGAGGAGAAAGAATTAGCAGAGGAGATGAACCCAAAGATACCAGAGGTGACACCCTTTCTCATGCACTGACTCATATCCAAATCAAAAGAGTAGACCCGCACCTGAACCAGGCAAGCCCCTGGTTCCCCTTGACAAACGAAGGGGGCAGAGTCTGGTGATGAAAAACACTGAGTCTGGGGGTCAGACTACCTGGGCTTGAATTCTAGATCAACCACTTACTAGCCATGTGACCTTCCCACCTCTGCGCCTCAGTTTTCCCACCTGCGAGCAGGGATAATAATAATCCCTACGTCGGAGATTGTTATGAGGATTATATTTTTATATCTCTTCGAGTAAGGCTGGCATAGAGTAAGGGCTGAGGAAGTGCTGGGAGAGTAAGGCCTAGAAAGAGACATGCATGTGCACACATGCCTACAAGCACACACCGAGTGGATGGAGGGGTCTGAGAGGGAAGCAAGAAACGATGGAGCCTGGCAGATGCGGGGAGGTTAGGAAGTGGGTGAGCACACAGGTGAGTTTACACCATTCCTCTTTCAAAGCCATGCATGGTTCAGACTCCGGTCCTCTATGAAATTCTCTTGAGCAGTTCTATCCAGAAGCACATTCCTACGATGTAGTACCCGGCATGGAGCATACCTGCAGGCCAATCTCTATCTCAGGGCACGTTCATCCATTCGCTGACTCATTCATATGTTCACCACCTGCAGGGCTCCATCCCTCACCCAGGTATTGTTCTGCAAAGACAGGTAAGGCAGCAGCCCTCCCCTGGAGAAGGCTGCTGCTCCAGAAAGCCTTGGGTCTCCTAGCCTGCTGTCCGCCGTGTCTGGTGTGCACATCCGATCACCTAGAAACTGGGGCAGTGTCGTTTCTTCTCTGCATCTCTCACAGCATCTAATACTTAGCAGAAGCTCTAAAGCCTCACAGGATGAAGGAATGAATAAGTCTCTTCCATTCTGTAGGTACCCAAATGAGTAGGGGCCCACAGTGTCTCCCAGAAGATCAGTTATCGAGATTTTTTTAAGCATGATGGAGATAAAACATTTAAGGCAAGATGTTTATATATTGATAGCTGATCTTTTCTACCCCTCAAATGACTTCTAAAGAAGCAGTACTCAAGCTGTGTAGCAACACCAGCTCATCAGGTCTTTATACTTCCTGTGTCCTCCAGCCCAGCATCACAGAGCAATTCTTAAGTTCAAGATTCACTTCCGCCATTTAGGGTCACTATCCTTGGTATTAGAAAAGGGGGAAAGAGTCAGAGCCTGCTGGATTTGTAGGGTTTGGGTGCAGAAGTTTGGCAGGGGGCATTCCCCTGGACCCGTGCTGTAACTCAGGGGTCTGTGGGTAGAATGAACTCCACTGGCAGAGTCGTCTAAATGTTTTTGAGCAGGTTATAAACAAAGAACTTAATGTCCTGCTGCTTAGAAGGTTCCAGAGAACCCAGGGCAAGAAAATTTAAGGTTTTAGAATCGAATGGAGGTTGAAATATGTCTTCAGGCTCTGGAACCTTGCTATTGTTGTTCAGTTGCTCAGTTGTGTTCAACTCTTTGCGACCCCACGGACTGCAGCACACCAGGTTTCCTTGTCTTTCACTTTCTCCTGGAGTTTGCTCAAATTCATGTCTAGTGAGACCATTATGCCATCCAACCATCTCATCCTCTGTCCCCTCCCCGCTTCTGGGAACTTATGATGCATGAAAGAATTTAAAGAGAGTATTCCCTTTATTTATTGTAGAGTTAGAGTTTATTTGAACTTATATTAAACTGTAGTCAGGCTGCATTGCAATATATTTGTTACCTGCATAAATGAGAACTAAATGTCCCCTACTCTGATGTTTATTAATGCTACATGGGGGTGCAGACCTTTCCCCTGGGTGTTCTGGACACCTCAGCAAGAGCAGTTTGCCTCCACTTCTAATTCTGAACCTCTAACACCCAATTCCTCATCTTCGCCATCAAGGGCTCCTCCTCTACTTATGCTAATGGCATCACCATGCGCATGACTGTCGGCCACACCCCAGCAACATTTTGAATCCCCCTTGTTTTTTAACACCTTCATTTCTGATCAGTTACCAAGTTCCCCCAATTTTGCTTCCATGATAATTAACCCACATATTCCCCTCTCTCCTGCCTCTGCCTGGCCCTCCTGCACTTGCCCCTGGTACAGTCAAATGAGCCTGAACTGTGTTATTAGGGTTAATATCTGGCTCTATAACTTCTAGCCCCATGACCTTCAGCAAGTCTCAAGTTCCTCATCTCTAAGGACAAGTGATAAAATTAGAGAATTTACATGAAATGCACACACAACATCCAGACCCTAGTAGGAACTCAGTGAAGACCAGTTCTTTTCCTACTTGCTGACCTGCTCCCCAGAGTCCTTCCTCTCAGGATTTCTCTGCTCCAGCTCATTGAATGCTCTGCTGCTAGATTAATTCTCTTAAAGCAAATCTCACTCTCTCCCTCTGTGCTCAAAACCTTGAATTGCTCCACACTGACTCCTGGAGTAAGGTCCACACCGAGAGTCTAGTTTAAGGGACTTCACAGCTGACCCTCATTACCACCACAATCTCTTTTCTGTCTTCTCTCCTTCACAGGCTCTGTGCTGTGGCCGTCTGGATAGATTATGCCTCTCTGAGATCACTCCCTGCCCTCCTAGGCTCTCTGCTTTCCTGATGCTGGAGAGACAGCCCCTGCTCTGTGTCTGTGCATCCAGTTCCGACCCATTCGGCTCAGCTCCACTCGGAATCTTTCGCAAAGTCTTCCTGATACTTGACTGTGGTGAAAACCAAACTACGTAATAACACACACATGTAATTTACCCAACTTTTAGCACCCTGTAGGGATCATTTAATTGTCAAAGTTAAATAATGTTTATGTTAAGAAGATGCCATTACTAAGTACATAAACATAAATTTACGTAGCTTAGTGTGTTTGTGGGTGTGGGGGATAAATAGAGATAAAAGCGAGACACTAGCTTTTCTACATTGAAATTTCCATATTTCTAGATAGTAAATTAGTTTGAGAAATAAAAGTCATTTGCAGATATTCTCTAGTGAAGTATTAATTTCCAAATGTTATAAGCTAGCCAAACATGTCCTTCTATGTAAGAAGTGTATCACAGACATTAAAAACCCCACTGTGAAAAGGGGAAACAATGACCTAAACTATTCCAATAATTGGGAAACAGTTAAATAAATTATGATATACTCACATTAGGGGCTATTATACAGCCATAAAAATGATGTTTTTAAAGAAATTAAGTGATGTTGAAAAGAGCAAGATATGAAATTGTATATTCTGTCTGCTCCCAGACATAGAATAACAATGATTATAATCACAAATGATAATAATAAGAAGCAAGAAGAAAAGACCATAAGAAAATATACTGAAAGATTAATCGTGCAGGAAGAAGCTTATGGTGGATTTTTATATTCTTCTTTATCCTTTTCTGAGGCTTCCAAATTCTCAATAATAAGCATGTATTGCATTTACAATGAAAGAGGAAAATATTAGAAGAGTGATTCAAAAACAAATACAGCAACAAACTGGTAGTCCTCGGGCTTAGGTGAGGCACATAAGGATGGAGGAAGTTCAAGCGGCTCTTTGAGCATCCTCTAGCCTCTGCAGCCTGATCACAAAGGTTTCCTCATCAACAGGCTCAGAACAAAATCCTCTGAGCAGCTACACACTAAATACTCTTGATGACTTTCCCTACAGGCAGGACGACTGAAGATGCCCAGGCAAAGGAACCAAGATCTTACCAAAGAACAGACTTTTTTTTCCCTCCTGTAACATCTCTGCCCAATGAACAATGCATATTAATAGAAGTCATTACATTACTTGTTGAGTTTTCAGACTCTTTGTGTACTAAGCAATCTGGGGCTTCTCAGGTGGCTCAGTGGTAAAGAATCTTCCTGCCAATGCACAAAACTTGGATGTGGGTTCAATCCTTGGGCTGAGAAGATATCCCGGAGAAGGAAATGGCAACCCACTCCTGTATCGTTGCCTGGGAAATCCCATGGTCAGAGGGGCCTAGTGGGTTACAGTCCATGGGGTCGCAAAAGACTTGGACACAATTTAGCAACAAAACAACAACTAAGCAATCTCGCTGTAGGTCACTTTCAAAATCAGAACATACACAAGAATCTATGAAAGAAGTGCCAGTGTGACTTGAAATGATTATAGATTGAGGGACATGTGCTGTGATTTGGGTGGAAAAACACCATGAAATGAAATGAAATCAGCTTTCTACAGACAAATAGAAATAAGACATGTATATGTGCCCTGAAGATGTGTACACATATGTATCAGCTGTAAAATCCTGAATGTTAGAGGATGCAGAACAGTATTGCTTTACACTTGGCAGCATCCTTGGCACATAGAAAGTGCTCAAGAAATATTCTTGGCTGACCCACTGACAATTTTTGTAATGTAAAAGACCATCATGGCATGGCAATAGAGTGCTACTGTCTGTGCTTCTTTGTGACATGGTGAAGCTGTGTTCTTCCAAAGGTCTAAAAAGAGCAAAAGAGTTCAGCAGTCATGGTGGTGTGTTTTCATAAGTGTTGAATCTTGAGACTCAGAAAAGTCTGGGGTCAGACTGCCTGGGTTTAAGCATTGGCTCCTGCCAGCCGTGCAGCTTTGATCATCTCTCAGCCTCAGTTTCTTCACCTGTAAAATGGGCTTAATAACAGGGTCTCCCTCAAAACATGAGGGTTAGAGGGGATCACACATGACATATTAGACATTCCATGAAAATGAGCTATTTGGGACACTGGACACAGGCTGGGCTTGCTTCTGAGTTCCCCAGAACACTCCACATTTCTGGCAAAGTGGTTTCTTTTCACTCCCTTATCTGAATCTCTCCACATGCTCTTTTGCAAACGGCTGCGATCAAATAAAATACAACATCTTCCAGAAGCTCAATGCAGAAGTTAAGTGAAAGGTTTTTTTTTTTTTTTGGTCAATAAACAGCATGAATCTTATTGTCAACCAACTCACGCTGCTGTAAATCTCTTGGGCCCCTGGTTCAAAAGCAGAAATATAAGAGACGATCCAGCACTGGCCTCAATTTGAAAGCCCGGGGCACATTTAGAGCAGGTTGATGGACAATTTCTACCTGAATAAGGTTGATTCAGAGCATCCAAACATTGGTCAGATTTTATAGCTAGTCTGTGCCTTCCACACTCTCATCCATAGGGTCTGACACCGTGCCTTGCCTCATAATAAGGACAGCATATTTCTGGCACTTGCCATGTGCTGAATACAGCCTTGTCCTAAAAACTCTGCATTTATTAAGTCATATAATTGTCATAACAGTGATGCTTTGGAGATGACTCAGAGGGACACCCTGCCCAATGGGGGTCACTTTTCACTGAAAAAATAACAAGCTGGCTCAAGCAGATCCTCTTCGGTAATCCCGGGATGTGAGGGGCATGCAGAAAGGACAGGTTACTCAAGCTCAGCCTGAACCCCAAATTGTGAAGTCATTGCTGCCACAGAGCCCAGTCTTGGAAGCGCTGGGACCCAGGGGAGGGGGTGGAGCCAAGGGCAGGCTCTCCTCCACCACTTCATTTCCTTGTTTCTTTGCAACAAAAGCCTGGCAGCAAAGACAACCTGGACTTGCCTCTTTGCAGCAGACCTGAAGAAGAGTCACCAATAAAATCCACAAGAGCCAAGAGAGGCTAGATTCTGAAAGTTCAGCAGCTTGTTCAGCTATGTGTAAGAAACACGTCGACCATTTTACACTAAATTCAATTACTGACTTTGCACTGATTGTTTTCTCCAGTGCTGAGACTGTGCCTCCCACATAGGCTCCATAAATACGCTGGATAAATGGGCAAGTTGTCTGAGTTAAACTTTTACATTGAATACACAAAACACGATAATTTTGTGAACAACCTAAATTACACATAATACATTTTTAAGTCCCAAAGCTAGGAAAGTGTCTTTGAATCAATAAGTGGGGTTTTCAAAAAAAGTTATTTTTATCTTTTTGTTTTCCCACACATGTTCATTTGGTGCTTTGAAAGTGTTTTCATTTTTAAAACACCAAACTCTGGCCTGGGACCAGTCATCAGAGACTAGAAATAGCCGTCTCAGGAGGTGAAGCGACTTGTTAAGTTCTTGGCGGAGTCAGGTTCTAATCCAGACCTCCAGACCTCTTTTTTAATATCAGTTCTGAAGGAAACTGATATCAGTTCTGGTGCCCCTTCACGGCCTCTTAAAACTGTGCCTCTGCATAACATAGTATCCATGTTAAACTATTTTTAAAGGTAGAGTTTGCTGACATTAAATATATTCACTTTGTTGTACAACCATCACCACTGTCCATCTCCAGAACTTATTCAATCCGCCTACAGTGCAGGAGACGCAAGAGACGAAGGTTTGATCCCTGGGTCGGGAAGATCCCCTGGAGGAGGACATGGCAACCTATTGCAGTATTCTTGCCTGGAGAATCCCATGGACAGAGGAGCCTGGCGAGCTGAGTACATGGGTCACAAAGAGTCAGACACGACTGAAGTGAGTAAGCACACAATCACATGCACACATAATAAAAACTTTACCACTGTGACCAATTTTAAGGACACAGTTCAATGGCCATGGTGCTTCATTTTTAATATGACAGCGTGGCAATGGTGACTATACATTGCACAGTCTAGCCCTCCTCGCTTTTCACACAAGCTCCTTCAGAACTGATATCAAAAAAGAGGTTGGGAGGTCTGGATTAGAACCTGATTCCACGGAGAACCTCACAAGTTACCTCACCTCCTGAGCCAGCCATTTCTAGGTCTCTGATGACCGGTCCCAGGCCAGAGTTGCATGTAGGAGGGATTACAACCCATTACTAGCTCTGGTTTTTACACTGAAAGTGAAAGTGTTAGTCCCCAAGTCACCTCCGACTCTGTGACCCCATGGACTGTAGCCCTCCAGGCTCCTCTGTCCACGGGATTCTCCAGGCCAGAATACTGGAGAGGGTAGCCATGCCCTCCTCCAGGGGATCTTTCCTACCCAGGGATTGAACCCAGGTCCCCTGTATTGCAGGTAGATTCTTTACTCTCTGAGCCTGTATTGGGTGGGCCAAAAAGTTCATTTGGGTTTTTCCTGACCAAGCCAGTATATTAAACAAAAATGCCTGAGGATACAGTCTCAAGGGAAGTAGGAGAATGAGACCCACCAGAGCTGGAGAGCTGACTCTCGAGCGCATCTGTGAAGGGGTTTCATCTGGCGGAATTGGCTCCATCTGCATCCGCACAGCAGGGCTACATGGGGCTTCAGCTGCAGGGCAGAGAGAGGCTCATTATACAGCCCAGGCACCTTGCCGAAGACCAGGGAGGCACGCCAAATCAAAGCAAAGTGCTCAGAATAGAAATGCAAGTCTCCTTTTACACTGGGGAGTATCAGGAAATTTTCCAGAAAGCAGGGGATGGGNAAAAAAAAAAAAAAAAAAGACAAAGACAGTCAAAGAGGACAAGCACTTACGACTGTGTACTGGGAGAGACTTTTGTTCTCTTTCTTAAAGAAAACAGGCTAATTACGGAGACCAGAGACGAAACAGAAATAGCCAGACTTATCATCTCCTAGGAAAGCAGAAAATGCTAACTCAAATAAATTAATAATGACACCAAACCCATGGGGGGTACTTACAATGTACCTGTGTACCTGAAGGCATTTTACTTAAACACTGTCCTGGATACTCCTCACAAAAACCCAACACCTCATTTCACAGATGTGGAAACAGCCACACAGAGAGGTTAAGTAAGTGGCCCAAGGTCACACAGCAAAACAGAATCAAAATATTTCATCTTCCTTCTCGAGACCCTCGATAGCTAGTTTATATATATATATTTTTCCAATGGCCTAGAAAGGAGTTAGCAAGGGTCCCAAATATAATGCAGCTGAGAGCAGTTTCTTGCCCCTTTTCTCTGCAATGCTGTGCCCTCATCTCTCATGGGCTTTCGCTATTGCTCCTGGCAGGGTTATGTGGTGGACCCACTCCAGCCTGGGAGTGACTGCAACCTTCTCCAACGCACAT